TTAAATGTAAGATTGATTTCTATCCACAAGTTCTAATTTTAGTAAAAAAAAAAAAAAAAAGATTTTTGATTTTTAAAACCAGCATGAACCAAGTCATTTATATCAAAGCAAATACTCCTATGATTACGGAGAAAAAATTCTACATGATTATGAAAAATATAATGTCATAATCCTAAAAAAAAATCTTCTAATCTGAAATATCATTTTGATTTAGAAGTGAAACGTGTCTCCTCCAGGCATGTTCTAGACAGGTTTTATGAGATTCATGAAAATAAAAAAAAACCTTACTGCCAGTGCCACATAATATCAAAACAGATATATCACTTTAAACTTTTTCTTGGCCTCCTGCTGCCTTTTCTCTCGCTCTTTCTTCTCTTTCTTCTCCTGCTCCAAGCGTTTCTTCTCTTCTTTTTCGAGCTTTTTCTTAAGTTCTTTTGATCCTTTTGTCGTTGTTTCTTTGTTGTCTTCAGGCCTGTGTAGAGTAAGAGTTGAGTAAGTATTCTGTCTTCTTTTATTTCATTAATCATATTAAAATTTGAGACCAATTGAATTGCAGCCTTTGCGAAAGAGCAACTCGATTTCCTGAAGAAAATGTGAGTGGCATTTGTTGTGCAGAACTCTCTATTACGATGGGTGATGGTTCACAAGTTTGTTGAAAATTACTTCTCTAATGAAAAATCTCTTCTCTTGTCTGATGATGTGTTCACCGGCGTGAGGGCGGGGCAACCTGTCACTCACATGAGATCCACCAATAGCAAACCACAACCATCCAATCAATTCTCCAAGGACAAAATCAAGCCCCGTCCTACATTTGTTCTTGTTTGCAAAGTAATTTCACTCGGATATACATCCCAATAGGGAAGAAAAGAATATTGCAACTTCTGTTTAATGCTGTTTAAAGAGGATCAATAAAGCTTTTTTACATGTTCAACTTCCTTTAGTGTGTAATGTTGCTGTTTGAGCATGAAAAATGTCTATAATCTTAGCACAAAAGTCACTCCAGCAGCAGTTGTTCTCTCTATCAAATGTGCACCGTTTCTAAACTCCCTGAGATGTGTTAAAACCATAGATATCCATAATAAAGGCTAGATGTCTCGTCCGCGCTGCTGGCTAATACGCACAACCGGCACATCCGGGAACTTAACTGTCAATTTTGTCCCCGCCCCCTTTTGGGGGAAACAAACTAGACTCCCCATAGACTTCAATACAAAATAACGGCAAAAACCAACGTCCGTACACAGCCGACAGGCGTAAATAAGTTAAGAAATCACTTATATAAAACATGTCAAGTAATTATATGTCCACCCTGCCTGCCATAGAGCCTGAAAGATACATTTTTTTATGCCCGTAATCAACTAGCCCAGGCTACCTGCCATCATCATCATAAATTCATAATATATACATTAAGGTTTTTTACTTTAAAAAATGAAATAAAATCATTCAGGGGCTTACCTGGTGACTCAATGAGGTACAAATAAATGTCCGGGTAAGACACCTCTGGCCACTGGGTGGGGTTGTTACACCAATTTGACGCTGGGAGAATAAAGGGACGTGTTTTTAAATTGGCCAAATTAAGTTTGTGTATGTATCTTTCAGTGTTGTAGTACTCGAGACTCGGACTCGTCTCGGACTCGGTCTCGAGACCATATTTTAATGGTCTTGGTCTTGTCATGGACTCGTGTGCATTTGGACTCGGAATTGACTCGTACTCGAAATTTTTTTTTTTTAGGACTCGGACTTATTCCCGAGTCCACTCGAGTTCAATTCAAAATATTTTTCATGATTATTAATGTATGTTAATAAAATATTTCTTTAAATTGATTGACACGCCCAGTGATTGGTGATTTTCTAGTGCGCAACTGCGCATGACAAATTGTAATAAATTTACTTTTAACACCACCTACTATGTGGCCTTTTTACCCTAAACTGATCATATCAACAAAAAAAACAAAAAAAAAACAAAAAAAAGGATTTCTCTAAGTAAATAAAAGTAAATTAGGTAATCAACCCTCACTGGTCTCGGTCTCGACTCGACTCGGCCTCGACTCTCTATGGACTCGGTCTCAACTCGGACTCGAATGAGGTGGTCTACAACACTGGTATCTTTCACGCTTTATGACTGGCAGGGTGGACATATAATTACTTGACATGTTTTATACAAGTGATTTCTTAAGTTATTTACGCCTATCGGCTGTGTACGGACGTTGTTTTTTGCTGTTATTTTGTATTGAAGTCTATGGGGAGTCTAGTTTGTTTTCCTCCAAAAGTGGGCGTGAACCTATTCAGAGACATTCTATGACGCAGCGCCGGTTGTGCGTATGGAGGTCGACATTCGTGCCTGGCGGCCATTTTGTCACAGGCAGCTCGCTCACTCGTAAGATTGTGTTTTAATGGTGCATGTATTTTTTAAATAACCATAACTTGCTCAATTTTCGACCGATTTTCAAATGGTTTGGTTTGTTATAAACGTCAGAGATGTAGTTATGACACAGCATACTTATTAATAATAAGTGTATAAATAAATAATCATCCAGAATAATAGCCACGTTAATGACGTTTGTAAGAAACCAAACCGTTTGTAAATCTTTCAAGATTTCAACGAGATAAGAGTATTTGTGTTCGTGCTGATCACTCATCTTACGTCAGCTTGCCTGTGACAAGATGGCCGCCGGTGATGACGATAGAAACTCCGCCGTAAGACATCTAGCCTTTATTGTGGATATCTATGGTTAAAACCCACAGTTATGGTGAGGGGCGTGACATTAAACATCACAAAACACTGTGCAAGCTGACCAATCAGGGCACATTGAGCTTTTCAGAAGGAGGGGCTTCATAGAGACAGGAACTAAACAGAGCGTTACTGACAGACTGGAAATAGTGTCAAATATGTGAAAAATAATTCGTTTTTTGAACATTCAAGCATGAAAAAAAAAAGACTTTGTATAAGCACATAACATGAACTATGTCTTTTATATTTTGATTCAGGGGTTTATTGTTCAAATCACTAAGTTTGAGTAATAATAATGCTGTACTTAGCAACCACAATGAAATAAGAGATCTCACTGGTTGTGGTCAAGATCCTCGTATATCTCCTCACCCGACTCCTACACACAAAAAACAAACAGAGACGGTAAAATCATTTTCTTCAGTCTGTAATAATCAGACTGTATTGTTAATGCTTCATTTCCTTTTGAGATGCTGGTTCTCTTGCAAACTATTTTTACCAAGCGTTGCAGAAGCGAGATGTTGATGTGTTATTTAAAACAGCTCTACACAAGAAGTCAGCTTTCGTAAACACAATCCTTACCTCACGGTCATTGCTGCTTTTACCTAAAACACAAAAGAGAGTCGTTTACAGACTTTGAAAAAATTTAATTAAATTAAATCCAGCAATAATATTAAAGCAACACCTAGACATGTCATTTCATGTGATGTTTGCATGTGCTTTTTTTATTTATATATACATAAATAAGGTCAATGTCTTGGATATTTTGTAATCTAATGCAATGACATTAAGATATTATGTAGCCAAACATTTACTTGGTTACTGTGGTTAATGTGTCAAACGTTAATTTGAAACTCATTTATATAACCATTTCATTTATATAACTCATTTATAAAACGTATTTAACATTTTATGTATATTTTTTTTCCAATTTAAGCTGCAATGATTTTCATAATATCACTGTTTTACATTAAAATCATTGTTTCTTAAAAGTGAACTCAATTTATTTCTACAATCTCAATTTAATTTTTTTTTTATTAAATCCAGCAATAATATTAAAGTAACACCTAGAAATGTAATTTCATGTGATGCTTGCATGTGCTTTTTTTATTTATATATACATAAATAAGATCAATGTCTTTGATATTTTGTAATGTAATGCCAAGACATTAAGATATTATGTAGCCAAACATTGTATGCGTCAAACGTTAATTTGAAACTCCTTTATATAACTTCTCTTTGATGACCTAGTGAAGACGGTGTCCTGTTCATGGTGTCCGTATCATCATACAAATCCTCCTGGAAAGTCTGATCCCTGTTCACAACAGAACAAACAGTAAAAACAAGCTTAATTTTGAATTTCTGCTTCACGTCTATGTTTTAATGATAATACATGCACTATTGTACTATTGATTGTATTACCTCACAGTACAGCAGTGTTACCATGAAATACTCTGAAATTATTAATTCTAACTATACCTATCATATTCATGTACCATGGTATTAAAATGTCAAGGTGTACATGTGCACACACACACACACACACACACAAATGGTGTATAGGCTTTACTTAGTACAATTTTTACTCAGAAATTGCTAGAAAATTGCTAATTGCTAAATTTCACAAATAATTCAAGGAAACAAGTAACAGTAAATTAAATATGACATTTTAAAGTAGAACGACTAAAATAGTACTTTCTTATAAAATGTACTCTTGTTTTTTTATTAACAACTTTGAAAAAAATGATTTTTACAGTGTATTTCACTACACTGTAAAAAATATTTTCAAGATTTGTTATCACAACATATTTTCTTTTGTCAAATCAACTTTGTACTAATTTATTTAGTTGAGATAACTTATTATTTTGAGTTTCTGATGATTAAATTAATCTCCTTCATTGTATTAACTCACTTTTTCCAGTTCAATCAACTTAAAATTTTAAGGCAACCCAGGTTACTTACTTTTTTAAGTTAAACCAACAATATTTTTTTTTACAGTGTAGTAATCACAACATTTTTGCTTTTGTCAAATCAACTTAAATAATTTATTTAGTTCAGATAACATATCATTTTGAGTTTCTGATGGTTAAATTAATCTCCTTCATTGTATGAACTCACTTTTTCCAGTTCAATCAACTTAAAATTTTAAGGCAACCAGGTTACTTACTTTTTTAAGTTAAACCATCAATATTTTTTTACAGTGTACATATTTTTTTACAATACTTTTTTACAGCAATACCATGAGTATTTAGTATACTAAATCCTCATGGTATTGCTATGGAACCATGTCCCAAGAATTTAACTAATTAATACTATAATTATTATTTCGTGACACACTTTTTTTTGTTGTATTGTGATGTATGTATTTCCAGATTTGTTTCCAGATTTGTAGGGGTGGTGATGGCGCAGTGGATAAGACACATGCTTTTGGTATGAGTAACCCCTAGTTGCTCCAGAGGCGTGCGACCTCTGACATATATAGCAATCGTAAGTCGCTTTAGATAAAAGCGTCAGCTAAATTAAAAAATGTAAAGGTAAAAATGTTTTTAACGCACTCATAAAGTCAGCACTCACATTGGAGGTGGAAGTGTGAAGTTTGGCGGTGGGGGTGGAGTCATAGATGTGATTGACAGGCATTCAGGTGGCGGTGGGGGTGGAGTCATAGATGTGATTGACAGGCATTCTTCAGGTGGCGGTGGAAGGGGGAAAATTCCAGGATCAAACTCAGGATTATTGATGTTGGATACTGATGAACCAGCTGAAGGAAACAGAACATGAAGCGACAAAAACTAAACAGTTAGACACTGAATAGTCAATGAGTCTGTAAATGTAATCTCTCTCTTTTTTAATATAGGTCACATTTCACAGCTCAGGGAAATGGATTTTGGATGTTTAGATAATATGGTAGGCCCAAAAAAGTGCTTGGACATTTGAGTCAAACTTAATGAATGCATCCTGAATAGTCCTAAAATAAATATTTTTTTGTCTATTTTAAAGTAAAATCTGGTTGTTTATTATCTTAAATTTTTTTGTGGAATGTATTCATTTCTTGAAACTTGTTTTAATATTTTGTTATTTGTATAATGCAATGACATTTAGACATTTGTAAGTGATTTAAAATAAAGTTCAAGAGTTTGGCGGTCAGTAATTTTTTCAATTAATTTAATTAAGTATTAAGAAATTAATACTTTTATTCTTCAAGGAACACAATGAATTGTTCATTATTCAAAAATGTAAAAAAAATATTTCAAATAATTGCTATTCTTTTGAAATTTCTAAAGTATTCAGCAAAAAAAATTTCAACATTGAAAATAATAATAAATATTTCTTGAGAAGCAAATCAGCATGTTATAAAGACTGGAGTAATGATGCTGAATTTAAAAACATATTTATTTTAAATCATGATATATTGCTGTTTTTACTGTAATTTGAATCAAATAAATACAGCCTTGATGAGCATAAGATAATTTTCACAAAACATAAAAATAAAACCTTACTGACCCCAAACTTTTAAACAGTTGTGCAAGTGTCCAAAATCTCATTGACACCACTGTATTTCAGTTGTCGACACACATAATTCCAGCCATTTAAAAAGAACGAACCCATACATGAAACTGAATGAAGCTTCATCATGGATGTCCATGTCTTACCGTTCCCTCTGAACTTGTTGAGGTTAACATGTGGAGGTCTCTCTGGTTTGGCAGGACACTTTCCTAAAGCAAACACATTGGGGAGAGGCTTCGTTTTTGGCACTGACAAATCCTCAGTAGTTCCTGGTCCTGCAGAGATGTCTTTATGAAACAAATGTTTCTGCAAAACAGATGGTTTGATAGGAGTCCAGGCTCCTGAAGAAGGGGTTTCTGCATACGAGTTCTCATGTTGTTCCCTATTGGGCAGCGTCGCTCCAACAGCATCCCTTCTCGAGACAATATTGGGCCCGTTGCTAAAAACTGGAGGATTGAATCTAGTCTCCAAAGAGTTGACTGTAAAGTTGGGCTTGACCATGAGTGGTTTAGGGAAAGGCCTGGAGCCTGCGCCTTTTTGCATGTCTACAGGTTTGAGTTTCACCGGCAACAGTGGATTCTGGTCCTCAGTCCTGGTGCTCATGAATTGATTTCTCTGATTAGGTTGGGGAAACATACTTTCACCAGCCAGTCAGACATCAGAGCTTGTACATCAGTGAATATGGCCTGAAAGAAGTCAAATATAAAAGAAGCATTGGTAACACTGTACAATAAAGTCTCATTTGCTAACATTAGTCAAAATGTTAATGTTAGTTAAAGTCCTCCTGTAGTGAATGTTATCCCTTAAAACTCACCAAAATTACATATTTAAAAATGATTCCTTGAAAAAAAAAATTTATTCATGCCTTAAAACAGCTCTAATGTAACTCGACACCCAGTCTACGCAGTTCTATGAATATGCGAATGATCCCCGCCTCCACTCACTCGCACTTTTTGAGACCGTCTTTGGTTCAGTGTAGTTTTAGGAGAAAATACTCACACAGAAGGCATTGGTGTTGACATGACTTTGTCTTAAAGCATATTAAAAACACCACATAGACAGACACCACAACAACATTAAAAACTCGATTTTCACCACAGGGTGACTTTGAATGTATTTCCTGTGAAACTTCCATATTTAAAGCCCCCCGTAGACAATGATTTTAACCCTTAAAACTCATCTTTGATCACAAAAATAAATATATTTTTTTATATTCCTTGAATAAAATATCTTAAATGTAACTCTAAACCCTTGCTTCATTTAGTATACGCAAATTCATGAATAAAACAAATTAGTAAACATTTGAAAACATTTCAAGTTGACTAAACGCAACATTTTAAGACAGCACAAACACTTAATTTAAGTTTAAACAATTTTTTTTACAGTGTTATAGAACATTTACACACTAAAAGCCACTTTTAGCAAGCGAGTCCTACACAATCAAAAACTCATTTTCTCCGGAAAATAAGAAAAATATATGTATCAGAATAATCCCTAATATAATAATAATAAATGCAGCAAACCTCCTTAAAACAGGCTACAGATAATAATGTTCTGAACTTTTAAAGAAGCTGCAAAAACTGTCTAAATTCACACCTTTGGGGTCCCGCCTTTACACTAGCCACTCTTTACATTGACAAGCGTGAAAAAAAAACACAAGTTTTTTCTTTTACTACCATCTGCTTCGTCAAAATGCATCATTATGATCAATATTATCGTATGCTTCTTATCAGTCACATCTTCAAACTAGTTATCAATCATAATAAGAAAGATAACAAAATCCTCTAGTCCTCTGAAGGCATCTGCTCTAATATACTGCACTTACACAAGTATAATCAAGAACTAAATCAATAGAAAAGTGAAAAATTTTAATAAAGCAGCAATATTTCTCTGCAAACTCACCCAGCCGGGACAGCACGTAAGTGTGTGTAGAAGTACAGTGGCTCAGTCTGGTGAGAAGCATAACTACAACCAAAGGAAATGCCAGTTTCTATAACTTTAATAAGGAAGAGGTGTAACCAGGGTTTCACTATCGAGCACAATAGCCCTGATCTGAGGTCAGGTTTAATAGCAGCGTATAAAGGTCAGTCTAATTCAAAACACCACACAAGTGTTTCACAAATATCACTGTTAGAGCAAACAAGTCTCACCATCATAACCACTGGAACAACTACCATAGGTTATTAGTGTGTCTGATGAGTCTTTTCAAGGAGCGAACTGATGACTAAATCTTTCTCCTAAACAGCTTATAATGTTAGTTAACCCAAACATGAATATCGTGTCATTACTCACCCTCATGGACTTTCGTTCATCTTTGCTGCACAAATAAAGATTTGTGTGAAAACACACTCAGTTAAATCAATGAGTAAAGAACATGTCTTTATAGGGCAAAGAGAACTTCATATATTTTAATAAATCATTTCAATCACAATAATATGATATTACATAGTATAATGTTAAACAAAACCTTAAAAAATATCATTTAACTGCGACAATGAAAAAGAAAGTGTGTGTGTGTGTGAAACAGTAAATGGAAACAAAACTGAGGAAAATTAATATGTAATCGATGGTTTTAAGGGGTGAATCTTGCTAAAACACATCTAGGTAACATTTCACCTCAAAATCAAGAGGAAAAATCATTATAAATTATATTTCTCCTTTTTTTCTCATACATTTTTGTACAATTAAGCAAATTTTTTCATAATTTAAAAAAAATATTATTCTTAAAAGTAATAAAGGCAGTATAACAAATACTACTAATATATATATATATATATATATATATATATATATATATATATATATATATATATTTACGGAATATATATATATATATATATATATATATATATATATATTTACGGAATTATATATATATATATTTATATTTTGTATTTTATATATATATATATATATATATATATTTACGGAATTATATTTAACAATATATTTATTGAGAGAGAGAGAGAGAGAGAGATGTGCTTGAAGTTCTTGAAAATAGGCACAATAAAATGTTGTGGGGTAAAATATGACCCCGACATGTTCTAGACCGGTTTAGTGAGATTCATGTTTGTCCCATACAGCCTCATTTCCATTTCCCTGATCCATAAACCAGACAATTTTGGGGGAATGGAAAGCTCTTCTGAAACTGTGTGTCTAGCCTACGGTCTGTCCGATAAGAGCGTGTCGATGTCCTGTATGGCTCTGGAGGTTTTCAGCAGAGCCTCAGAGATGCAGGTCTCAGTGAGTTTGATCTCGGACCGATCAGGAGAACGCTCACATCTCAAAGATCTCGCTGTAGGACGCAGGACAGAGCTGTTCTCCAACAAAACTGATGCTTTGTGTTAAAAAAACATTCTAATCTCAATAGTCAATTTCTGCATCAACAGCCACATACAATAGGGCTGTCAAAACGGCTAAAAAAAACTCAATTAAAATTGAATATGTAAATATTACACATATTATATTTGAATTTAAAAGTCATAATTTCAGTTAGGTCTCCTGAGGCCACAAGGGGGCGCAATTAGCAAAATGAACACTGAAACGTCGGAAAACGCCTGAAAATCCTAGTGTGGACGGAGAGCGTTTTTAAACGAAAACGCCGTGTTCAAATGTATCCGGATTAATGTGGACGTAGCCTTAGAGAGCTATGTAAAGTGAAAGTTTACATAAGTGAAAAAGCAACAACTCATCATCATCACATCTCGTTCACCACTGATAAGGCTGACACCTAAAATTAAACCTAGAATTTAATTCGACGAATATTCAAAATTCGAAGTTTATTTTGTCAGCCCTAACATACACATATAATCTCAGCAAAAAAAGGATACAGTTAAACCTCTTGATTTTTTCCAGCTCTGAAACAACAGACCTGTAGGGGTGAAACAAATCAGGATGATGAAGGGATAGTTCACCCAAAAAGTGAACTCTACCATAAAAAAGTTACACTTTAAAATGCATTAAACTTTGTAAAGAGACAAATAAGTTTGTTGTGGCTATCCCCCAATCAATTTCACTGCATAGAAAAGCAATTATACTTGATAACTTTATTTTAAAATACCCTGGAAAGAACATAGAGAGCAGATTTCTGGATGAGAGTGGTTGATATGCATCACTATAATACTATAATAAAGATGATGCACAGACTTAGTTCCTTAATACCTGCATGTTATTGGCTGAGGAGTGTCAGAATGGGCGGAGTCTGAGAGAGCCACACCCACTGCGCTCTTGGTCTGTTCGGTCTGTTTTACCCAGTCACACCACTGCACTACTACCGACACATACCTGAGAGAGAGAGAGAGAGAGAGAGAGAGAGAGAGAGAGAGAGAGAGAATAGGAAATTACGTATTTTCTTAAAGGTGCATTCATTGCGCATTATGCGCAAGTCTCTGAGATTTTGCAGAACTCCAGAGGATGCGCAATGAATGCACCTTTAAGAAAATACGTAATTTCCTATTCTCTCTCTCTCTCTCTCTCTCTCTCTCTCTCTCTCTCTGGCAACCCCTCTGGCAACATGCGAAACTACAACCAGAGGTGTGCACGCTCATGGACCACACGCACACGCTTGCACGAGCTGTTCATAACCAAAGGAGCATCAGCCGCACAAATATTTTGTTACAGTCATAATGTTTTCAGAGGTAATAAAGTTATAAATCTGCAAGTCATTTTAAATATATGAAAGGAAACCTTTACCTGTGATATGTTTTTTCTGTCTCGACTTGGACAAGAGTTTGGTGCCCATCTGGCATATTGAGCTGGCACCACCTGTGAGATGGTTTGGTTTCTGTCTCGAGTCTCTGCTCCATTTCTTCACACTATCATCACAAACACATAAATAAAACGCATATGTAAAATTCATGAATTCATAACTTTTTTTTTTTAAAGATTTTAAACTTTGTTTATTGACATGGTTCCAGTGTAACTTAATTTATGCTCTATTGAGCATTTGGCACGCGGATTAGGACTGGGCCATGTGTCTAAATCAATACTTATGGCAAAATGAATATATACCTTTTAAATGTAAAATAATAAGAAGAAAAAAAGGTTAAATAAATAATAATAATAAATAAATAAAGTATTTAAATAGTCATATTTAAATAAATCAGATTTAATCCTGAGTTATTATATAAATAAAATACTAATATACATTTAAAAAATATACTTCAGATAGAAGCCAAAACAACTCTTTAATTCAGTTTAACTTTAATGTACTAAAATAAACTAAAAAAAGAAAGATTAATAAAAACTATAGACAGAGCACAAAACATTTTAAAAGTTAAATTAAAATGAAAACAAAATAAGAATAAAAACTGATTAAAATTGTTTTCAATAAAAACTATAATTATCTTAATGATACCAATATAAAACTGGCATATTCAGTGTTTTTCACTAAATGAACATTATATACACCAATATAACCATACATTGTAATATAATGATCAATATTTAATGTATAAAAATTACAAATAATACATTACATGAATAAAATAATATTTAACTAATATTTTTAATTTATGAAAAACTTGATGCAAATTTGAGATTAAATCCCCTAATTACTAAAAAACTAAGCATGTGAATCGATGCAAGCATATTGCATCAACAAATAGTCTCTGGTGAAGAGCTGATTAAATGTGGAAGTAAACAAGCAGTTTGGTGAGATGATTCATGATCAGTGTGTAGTTGTACACTACTGAAATGCATACAGTATGTTTATGTACCTGTGCAGGTGTACATGTGTCAGACTTCCACATCATCTGAGCCCGAACTCCATCCAGGAACAAGACCTCGACCGTCCCGTCTGAGAGAGCTTTGAAATGTCCTGTACCTGCCACCGTCACCTCCTGAACCACAGGTACACAATCACACACCGCAGCCTGCTGAAGACAGAACCGTCATCATCACACACACACACACCCACATACACCGACACTAAGTGAGTCTCCGTCACACACACACACCTCGTTCCAGCAGTACAGAGAGAGCGGGACCCTCAGGGAGCTTCTGGCCTGGATGAAACATTTCAGAATCCTAACAAAACACACAAAAATTAGTCTTTCTTTGTTTTCTTATAGTGGTTTGTGGAATATACAAATTATACAAAACCATTCCAAAGATATTAGGCGGTAATGTGTTTTTGAAAGAACTCTCTTATTCTAAACAAGGCTGCATTTATGTGATAAAAAACCGTGAAAACTGTAATTTTGTGAAATATTATTATTTAATTTAAAATAACTGCTTTCTATTAGAAGATATTTTAAAATTAGGGCTGTCAAACGATTAATCGCATCCAAAATAAAAGCATGTGTTTACATAATATATGTGTGTGTACTGTGAATAATTATTTTCTATATATAAATACACATACATGCATGTATTTATTTAATATATAAATATTTATATATAATATCAATTATATATAAATATATACACTGTATATACATGCAAATATTTCTTAAATATACATGCATGTGTGTGTATTTGTGTACAAATAATTATACACACTACACACATATATTATGTAAACACAACCTTTATTTTGGATGCGATTATTCGCGATTAATCGTTTGACAGCCCTAATTTTAAAATGTAATTTATTCCTGTGATGGTAAAGCTGTATTTTCAGCATCGTTACTCCAGTCTTCAGTGTCACATGATCATTGAGAAATCATTCTAATATGCTGATTTGCTGCTCAAGAAACATTCCTTGTTATTGTCAACGTTGAATATTGAATAATTTAGTTCAGTTTGTTTTTATTGATTTTTACAATACATTCACAGTCCCTCACCATCCAATATGGAGAATGACACCCATATTATCCATTGATACAAAGTGGAATTGCAAGAACAGAACATATATACAATACTTACAAACATAAACCTTTAACCAAATACATAAAAAATAATAATAATAAAAAAAAATTAAAAAAAGGAAAACAATAGTAGTGGCGTTATTCAAACAGACTTGTCAACATAGTCAAGAAAAGAATATTGAATAATTTATGTGAAAAAAAATCATCTGATTCTCTGATGAATAGAAAGTAAAAAAAAAAACCATTTATTAGAAATAACAAATCTTTTGTATAGATGTATTTTACTGTCACTTTCTATCAATTCAATGCATCCTTGCTGAATAAATGTGTTAACTTAACAGTGATGCTTGACGTGGCAGACACATTGTTCAATATTTTTTGCAGTGCAACATTTTGGGTCTCATTTTCACCCCCTGGTGTCTGAATCCAATAAAAAGGAATTTTCCTCTATTTAGGAATATTATGACGCAAGTTATCCTGGAATCCTGTCTATTGGTTTTGGTTTTAATGTGAGCTGCTGTATGCTAGTAAACATCTCATCTCACCTGCTGGCCCGTGTGACGATAGATTGGACAGAATACAGCTGACCCGGTACGTCAGGTGGGAGACCACACAGGTAATACACACACTCCACTGCCTGAGAACACAGAAATCAACTCTGAATCATACATCTACTGCTCTCTGTATCAGTACATTAGCCCCTCATCTTGATAGTGAGTGTTGTCTTACATCTCTGTGAGCAGCTCCAGCTTTATAATGTGTGAAGTAATTGGCTAGAACGCCATTGGATCTAACGACTGAACCATCACCGGGTGAGATTTCTACCATCGGTATTACTCCATCTACTATACTAAAGGAGAGAAAAAACATGAAATCATCATCAGTCAGTGTTTAAGTCTAAGGCATACTCTATTTGTTTGGCACAAAGTCCTTAAAGGGACAGTTCACCCAAAAATGAATATGCTGCCGTCATTTACTCACCCTCATGTCATTTCAAACCTTTCCAAATAAAAATAAAATAAAAAAGATATTTTGAAGAATTCTGGGAAACCTAACAACATTGGACTCCTTCGACATTCATTTTTATGGATAAAAATAACAGACATTTATCAAAATATCTTCTTTTATGTTTTTACAGAAGAAAGTTAGTTTTGTCACATTGGTTTTGGAAGATGAGGGTGAAAAAATGGTGAAAGGATTTTCATTTTTGGGTGAACTGTCCCTTTAAGGACTGTGTGCAAATCATGAACCAAAAGTAAACTAAATATATTGAAATATATTGATTTTCTTTCCCATATTTGAAAGCAGTTCTTCAGAATAACGATTACATCAAATCCTCTTTTAATTGAAAGTACTATGGAAAAGCATAATTGAAAAATATAACTGAAAAGATGATGCAATAGGTACACTCTAAAAAATGCTGGGTTGTTTTAACCCAACTTTGGGTCAAATATGGACTAACCCAGCCGTTGGGTTAAATTTTTACATTACACTCTAAAAAATGCTGGGTTGTTTTAACCCAACTTTGGGTCAAATATGGACTAACCCAGCCGTTGGGTTAAATTTTTACATTACATTTTTAACCCAACATTTCAGGTTTGTCCATATTTGACCCAAAATTGGGTTAAAACAACCCAGCATTTTTTAGAGTGTACATTTTTAACCCAACATTTTGGGTTTGTCCATATTTGACCAAAAATTGGGTTAAAACAACCCAGCATTTTTTAGAGTGTAAAAAATGCTGGGTTGTTTTAACCCAATTTTGGGTCAAATATGGACAAACCCGAAATGTTGGGTTAAAAATGTAATGTAAAAATTTAACCCAACGGCTGGGTTAGTCCATATTTGACCCATAGTTGGGTTAAAACAACCCAGCATTTTTTAGAGTGTATGAACATGAAATGAATCGGTAATCACCGGTATATAATGCCTTTGCACCAGACCACCTTCACCAGCTCAGCTGTTACTTCCTCTTCCTGATCCAGCAAATCAGGATTCAAAGTGTCATATCTCCACCTGAACATCACATGGTCGATTTTGGGGATGACATATTTATTTGGGGATGAAATATTAACAAATCTTGACAGATTGAGATTCATCCATAAATAAAGCCAAAGAGAGAGAGATGAGACTGTATGTTGTGTAGTTTGGAGTTCCTCACCTGTGTTGATGAGGAGAGGGACATTTTAAAGGCAATGGTTTGGGCAGATGAGTCTTCAGCCCTGTTTGAGATGTTTGCCTATCTTCGCTGTCTGTTAAACCTTTTCTATCTTGCCCATTGATAGTATTTATTTTCGTTTTTTGTGATTCCCAATGCTTGACAGCCAATGACAGAGGATAGCACCACATCTGTGGGTAAAGCACTCGGGAATAGTGCTGGATCACTCTGGTGTACACATCCACCTTTTCAGACTTCAAGCTTGTTGATTCCAGTCTTTCCATATTGAGTTTTTTTCCGACCGACCCAGGATGGTCCAACCAAGCACCAGCTGAGGAGCTTAAACCCTTAACCGTGGCAGATTTTAATGACAAGCCACTTAATAAACATGTGCTTTTGTGTTGGTGACCTTGAAGCTGCAAATACTGCGACTCTACTTCATTTTGGCTGGACCGACAGATAAACTTCGCCGTGAACTCTTCTCCAGAAGAGGAAAGAACCAGTTCGGCATGTCCATCAACAGAGCAAACTGTGATCTCTCCATGTGACCCAGTGGTGCAAGAGTCAGACCCTGGCCACTCAACCTCAGTTATGGCACTGTTGAACCTCTGAAAATGAACATTTAAGCATAAATGAGAAATTAAGCTGGATTTACATGATTTCAGTAATAAAGTAAACCTTTACAACAGCTTTAGGATAGTCTAACCTTGTTGAATTCCACTGTTATGAGCTCTTCAGGCAAAAATGGATGAGTTGCATACTTGTTTCTGAATTCCAAAGCATTCACTACCAGTGCCTAAACAAAAGAGAAAACAAATAAATGATTTAATTTTATACTGTGCATCCATATTAACAGCAGTTAAATACTTGTGACAAACAAAAGACAACTCATAAATGGATGAATGGATATGCTATACAGATGGTGAGATAGATAGATAGATAGATAGATAGATAGATAGATAGATAGATAGATAGATAGATAGATAGATAGATAGATAGATAGATAGATAGATAGATAGATAGATAGATAGATAGATAGATAGATAGATAGATAGATAGATAGATGTTTAGCATTACAATGGCACAGTTTTGATAGTTATACAGATGAAAGGGTGATATGTGTACCTTATACTCGCTGATGGCGAATCTTGTTCTTTGTCTGACTCTCTCTTTGGGCTGTAGCGGGTGTGCAGAGGGTGACAAGTGTTTCTCTATCATGAATTCTGATCCGCAGGGTGAGAGCTGAAGTCTGCACCCGTCTGCGTAATACACATCCACCGACTCATCCACATACATGACAATAAACCTAACCGAACACATGACTCACTCAACATGACACTGAAAACGCTACGACTGGAACTAAAAACAATTTACATAATCATTTGACTGCGACGGTCTAAAACCTAAACACTAACAATCACTGAAGAGACACAAACAAACCACACAGGCGCGAGTCAAATTGCGCTATTCGATTCGCAAAATGACCGTTCTTTCGAGTCGGATCTTTTGAATCAATCGACAAAACTGGTTTACAAACCCGGGAGTGTCAGTGAAAAGGGGATTTAACTTTATGGGTCGAATTTTAAGTAACGTTATATACCCGAAAAGCAGAAATGTTACAAATAAAACGTATACCAAATTTACTATTTGATCGTATGACTCAGAAATTTGGAAGTCAAAAGTTTTCATATAGATTTTAATTATTTGTAAAAGCTATATCAAACTGAAATGAGCAACGACATTACAACACGAACACTGATTAAACACGAAAAAAAAACCATCATAATCAGTCATGTGTTCTTAGATTAATAATCGCCGAATCGTTTTTGCATTCATTACTTTGACACGACTGTTCAAAAGAACCGATTTACAGAAATGAATCGGACTGTCCATAGTCGCCATGTAAATTTTCGCGGTTAATGAAGAGAACGACGCTTATTGGATGAACCACTTCTTCTAGAGTATACCCATAAATCTGTGCGCTCTGTTGTCGCCCCCTTGGTGCAAACGTTATGAACACCGATTAAGATAAATTTAGATATATGAATTGACATCTTTTTTATTATTTTTGTGTGAAATTCACCATTTTGTGCATTATAATTGCATATAAATTAACATTTTCATAAAAAATGTTTACTGAATATCAGTATAATTTTGTTTTCTTACTTTGAAAATCATCATCAGTTTACAAAAGCCAACATAAAGGGTCATAGTTAATGTTATATTGTATAATACATCGGGGTAAAATATACTTTCATTCACTGGTCGGCAACTGGGGACGCCACGCATGAACGATTGCAAAACAAGTTGGACAGCATCTCATCTAACCGTCCACTATAGAAAAAAAACAGGACTAACAAAAACAGCTCAGTTCAGACCAACAGAAACACAAAGAGACAGTGTATTAATAAAGATTTATTGCAGGCAAACAATGCAGCAAATAATATTTACAGCTATATTAAAATAAACATTCCTTTATCTGGGATCCATGAGATGAATGGTGATCAGAAAACATCTGTAAATCACAGTGGCGGATGAATCTGTGTAAATCCCCAAACCTGTACTGAGCTTTTCCTCTGATTTGACACGCTTATTTAACAGATGTGGAAAAATGTATCCCTGCATTCAAAAAAACCAAACATACTTTAAAGTTGGGGTTCCTCTTTTCCTCACAAACGTGAATAAATTGAAAGTAGAACTCAAAGTAAAGATTCAAGGAGAATCTGTGGAAGGAATAACAGTAGTTTTGTTTTCTTAAAACGTTTTTGTCTTACGGTCAGTGCTCTGTAACTTTATACGGCAAAGCCTTGAGGAGTAAAACACAAAGCGACACGCCCCGCCTCATTTCTCCTACATTTACTGAGCAGTTAATCTGCAAACAAACCACACGTACACGATGATGCTACTCTTCGGCTCATATTAAAATTTCACTGCAAACTTTTTTTTTTTTGAGGGGATGTTTGATAAATCAGAACACGCATAAAATAAACCTCACATCCCAAATGCCAAACCAATGGCTACTGACAACTTGATGGCCTGACGAACTTGCAAATTATACCGCATTTCAACTAAACAGTAATCCCAGCCATAAATCCAGCGATGTTGTAGCCAAGAAGTGATTGATGAGAAATGAAACGAAAATCAACCGAAGTGTTCTTGGTTCCGCCCACTCTGAAACATTCCAGCTGGTCGGGTAATGTGTTAACATGACAACCTCACAGTCTCTCATTTCCTTCTTTTTGCATCCGACTCCAGGCAAAACTTCTCAAACGCCTCCTCGATCTCTGGATCCATTTCATCATCATCGTCACAGGAACTGAAACGGATGGAACAGTGCAAGCTTAGATATTTATTTACATGAGTTTCCTCGTGTCTATGCTCCAACCCTCCTTTCCTGAGGATGCTAAAATGAGGATGGAGGAATCGAAGAAAAGCTTATTTGGTCACTCAAGCATCTCTTAAAAGAGTAGTTCACTTTTAAAAAAAACTTTTGCTGATAATTCTCACCCCCATGTCATCCAAGATGAAGATGTCCATGTCTTTCTTTCTTCAGTCGAAAAGAAATTAAGGTTTTTGATGAAAAAATTCCAGGATTTTTCTCCATATAATGGACTTCAATGGGAACCAAACGGTTCAAGGGCCAAAAGACAGTTTCAGTGCAAACTGCAACGGTTTAAAGGGCTTTAAACGATTTCAGACGAAGAATAAGGGTCTTATCTAGCGAAACGATCACTCATTAAAAAAATTAAAAAATAAAGTTTAAGTTTTATAAGCTCAAATGTTCAGCTTGCTCTGTTCTGTGATGCGCGTTCGTGACTCTCCTGTTCAAACACATTCATCAAAATGAACAAATGTTTTCCCAGAGTCAACCCGTTCATTCCGTTCGTTGAATGACCCAAATGGCACGAAAAAAGATTTGTTCGTTTTGATCACGAGTTTGAACAGGAGAATCCTGAACGCACAGAGCAAGGCGACCATTTGAGCTTATAAAAATTAAAACTTTGTTGTTGTTTTTTTTTTTTAAATGAGCGATCGTTTCACTTGATAAGACCCTTATTCATCGTCTGAAATCGTTTAAAGCCCTTTGAACAGTTTGCAGTTTGCACTGAAACTGTCTTTTGGACCTTGAACCGTTTGGTCCCCATTGAAGTCCATTATATGGAGAAAAATCCTGGAATGTTTTCATCAAAAACCTTCATTCTTTTCAACTGAAGAAAGAAAGACATGGAAATCTTGCATGATATGGGGGTGAGTAAACTATCAGCAAAAGTTTTTTTAAAAGTGAACTACTCTTTGAAGACGTCATCAGCTGTGGTCGAGGGATCTGCCCTTTGTGTTGTTAAAGTTGGGTTATTTAAAGCTGCAGTCCGTAACTTTCGGCGCTCTAGCGATTAATAAACAGAACTGTATGCGTCTCGCGGAACTGAAGTGACACGCTTATTTTTTCCAGGCTCAGTGTGTTTGTACTTCGCGGTTGTCTATGACAACTTTTGACAACAAACCCACCGTAAGCTGTCATGAGACTATCTATGGTAGCCCATAAGGCATATAAAACCTTTTTTTTTAAATGCGCCACACGCAATGACGGGCCGCACTAACATTAAACTTTAATGTCAAGTAGGATGCCACAAAGGGCCGTGAGTTTGGGACCACTGCCCTAAAGGCACATGTGCATCTGTTCATGGCCCATCCAATGGGCTGAAGACTACGCTGAATAAGACTGGGAGGTGTTGCTAAGCCCCCCTCTCTCCCTGGACTGCTGACTTCACTCAAATTTGCTCTTTGACTCCACCAAGCATCATTGTGATGAGGACAATTACTGGAGTTTGAGCAGAGGGGATGGTCACACCAGGGTTATTATTATAGGTATAACTAAAACCATAAAAAAAAAACTTTTGTTATTTGAAATAAAATGAAATTTAACTGAAATAAATTTATATATATATATATATATATATATATATATATACATTTAGAATTTTAAAATAAAATATATAAAAAAAATTGATGTCAATGATGGCCACACACTCCTCACAGGTTTAATATATTACTAAGTTGTGCAGTAAACAGACGATATATTGGATATTCTGAACACAAATTTACAAACATCTACTCACGATTCATTTCCATTCTGCTCATATGCATCAGGGAAGTAGTCTTCTCTGTCTAGAATCTCCTGATATTTTTCTGAGTATTCTGTGGTGAAAAAAAAGAGGACAAATAACACTTTCATGCTCAATGTTTCTGCCTAAATGAATACATGATGATACATGATGCTTGACTGTATGATTCATATTATCTTAGAACTGTACATTTCTGCCATATTTCAGTCACCACAGATAACTGATTACTCTTAATTGTAAAATAGAAACAGGACAGGTATTTTTTGTAAAGCTGCTTTGAAACGTTATGCATTGTGAAAAGTAAAATAAATGTTAATCGAATTAATACAAATAAATGTTAATCGAATTAAACGTGAACGAATTAGTAGAATCCTGTCAAAAACATAATATTTTAAACCAAATTAAAAAAAAAAAAAAAAAAATCAACCTGTATGAGCATTGTGTAAACAAAATACCAATATAATTATTATATACCAATATAAACAATATAATTATTTATAGATAAATAATAATATTTATCATTACCTAATGCAAAAAAAAAAAAAAAAAAAAAAAAAAAGCTCAAGTATTTAGGAAGCCTTAAATTGATCACGGCTGCTGAAAATTAATGTTTGCCATCACAGAAATAAATTATATTCAAAAAATATATTCAAAAAAAGCCAGTTATTTTAGAAGACTTCTTTTTTTTTTTAAACATGAAACATTAATGAAGTAAAAAGACAGTAATTATTATTATTAATAATCTAAAAAAACAAAAAACGTTACGTTAATGAAAATTTGGTATACTTATATGAAAATAAAAAAAAAAATGCAC